ATCATCGATAAGAGTGGAGGCTATTTCATATAATAAATGTTTTGTTTTTATATATAATTTTTATGACCTAGTATCTTTATATGGCAGACCCCTTTACCTTGGTTGGTTTCTTATGTATAAAATACTTTGATCAGTCTGTTTTATTAATCATAACTTGGTAATTGATAAGGCAAGCATAGTTTTTGCTTATAATGTCCTTTTATTAATGGATAAATTCCTAACTGCAGTACCTTATAACATTTGACATGGGAATCCTGTTTTGTATCTTTCAAATCTGTTTGTTAGTATGATGGATATAACCTAGTTATACTGATATACAATGGAATTATTGTCAGTTTTAAAAGACCTGTGGTTGCATTGAGTACCTGTACAATGTTTCGACACAACATATAATCCGTACAAAATTTATAATGTTAGACAACAGAAACAGTTGTCTGATCTCAACAAACCTGTTTCTTTCATTTTTATTTACTATCAGAAGGAGGTGTTATCCAGTTTATTCACTTTATGTAATTATGTATAACAGACTTGCTTGGAAAATTATAGGTGGGGGATAGTCTTTTAGTTGTAGCTGAGCTTGGCATAAAGTATGCTACTAAGTGTAATGTGCCTGCAGATGCACTTTCTATGTATGCAGAAACACTTATGGAACAAAGCTGTTCTGAAAGTTGTCTCAGCTTTTAAATAAACGAAATAACATCAGATATCTTAACTTCTGTGAACTAGGTAATCTTCAAATAACAGTCTAGTTTAAATCTGTCAGTTACTGCTCATAGTTTTGACTAAACTTTTACGTCATCTGGTCAATGCACTGAAATTTTTATGTACCATGAGTAGTAGGGGTGTGGAATTCGTATCACTCTATACCTGGGACGACAAGTTTTACATATATACTTTTGTTTATTGGACAAGCAATGTTTTTTCTTGCACGTAATTTGTTCTGTTGCTAGAAAATCAGTGCAGAAAATAAGCTGATTATCTCAAAATGGCAAAATTGGATTTACAGCTTTTTGCATCACTTATTTGCATTTGTTATTCAAATCTGGTTATTAGTACTAACATCTGATTTATCTATTTCTTCTTTTGTGGTATGATATAGGTTTTTTAAAAAGGCAAAAAGATTTTTCAAACATTTTACACCCCTTAACAGAGTGAGAAAAGACTAGATCACTTGTTTACTGAAAAGTGACGTACTGCTTATTATTTCTGTTTTTGGAAATTAAATTTTTAAAGTGAAGTAGAAGTTATAATAAATAATTGGATTTTATAATGTAAATATAGATTTAAGATTTCATAAATAATGATGGTTATCTAGCATAAAGAAAACATGCAGGTTTCCTTTTCCTTTGGATGAATGTACTGTATACAACTTAAGTGGCCAAGACACCTTAATAAAGCTGTTTTTTGAAGCAGTTTGTTGATGGTGTATACATATCTTTTAATGTCACCATTCTTTAAACAAGTTTTGCAAAAAAAATGGTTTTATAAATAATTTTGAAAAGTGAAAAGAGTTTATACTAAAAATTAGTTCTTCAAACTTCAATTTTATGATGTAGGTTACAGAGGATGCTGCAACTATATACAGAAATTTTGCTGTCAATATGTACTTGTGTATATAATTTTCAACAGTCTTCTGAGTTAACTTGCTAAGATGGAAGATTTTTACTCCTCCTCTTGCAGTGGGATCCCTTATGATAATCAGTAGCGGTTATATGAAGTGTTAACTATTTCACTAATGCAAAACAGTTATTTTTAAAGGAATGACTACTGGTGTAATTCTTATTCATATAGTGGAAAGATACCTTTTATTCTATTGATATAATACAATATTAACATTTGTACTGCACGATATACAAATTTATGGTATTGTGATAACTAATTTCAGTCATAAAAGTGGAGTGCATTTTATGAACATATTTAATTTGTTTATAGTTTAGCTTTAAAATTGTATGTAGATAATTTTCTGTAAATTAATTACAATTAATATGAAGTTTTCACACAGAATAACCCAGATAAAAGAAAATACTGATGAAGCCCGTAGTATCTATCTGTATGTATGTCTTTTTAGTTTTGTGCAAGTGTGGCTAGGTGTTTGAACAGTATTACTTGGTATATTACTTGTTTGATTGTTTAGGCAGAGTATTCATGATGAAACTTTATGGAATGGATAGCAACTGCCTGTTGTGGAGACGCAAGTGTAGAGGACAATGTTTTGAAAGACTTTCGCCTTTCGAAACGTCGTCCTCTACACTTGTGTGTCTACAACAGGCAGTTGCCATCCATTCTACAAAGTTTCATATTGATAATTGTTTTGAATAACTAGTAGTATATAGTTTTTAGATGATGTATTAAAAATAACCTGGCTTTAATAAGCTTATGCAGTAATGATCTGGATTAAAAATAAAAAATTTTTTAGTGTAAAAAAAGATCAGTATCATTGTGTTTATTATAGCTTGACATTTGTTTTAATATTACTTGATAGTACAACTTTGTGGGACGTATTCTTGGCCCTAAAGGTCTGACAACAAAGATGCTTGAACAAGAAACAGGTTGTAGAATTATGGTGAGAGGAAAGGGATCTATGAGAGATAAGAAGAAGGTAAATATTCAAACTTGTTTTGTCATCAGAGAAGTTTTCAGTTTTTGTGAAAAATAAATGAAAAAACAAACTAAGCTATCACATATTTTTGACATAATAAATTGAAGCAAAGATGTCTAACATTACCATGTTTTTATTAAAAAGATTTGCATTGGAGTGACATTAAGGGAACTTTCTGTAAGAGTTTTTTAACATTAAGCATTGTAATAATATTACTGATGTAAATTACAGAATTTTGGCAGCTTTGCATCAGTTACAAATGTGCATTTACCCATTATATTACCACAGCAGTCACTTTGAATTGGTACTTTATATTTGCACTAAAATATATCACTGAACATCATTTGCTTTATAGTTATTAATCTGGTTTGTGATTATTTTTCTTTGTCCACATAATAATTAGAGAAGAAAAATGAACACTCGTTGACCTACAGTAATTAATTTAGCAGTTGGCACTGATTGTTTAATAAATATTGTAGAATTTGGGATTTAATTCAGAAAGTAAAGTGCCACTAAGAATTAATTCATCTAGAATTGCATTACTTATAAATGTTTAGAAGTAGGAGGTATATTTCAAACAACAGGAGATAAGAGCATTTAGTATGGTGCAACATTTTGCCTAAAAACAATTTAAGTGCAGTCAGTAGAATGCAACAGAAAGAGTTATGAAGTAAATCAGCATTTTATAAATCTTATGTAAGTGGTTAAAAAACAGTGGTGCAGCTCATGTTTACCAAAAACATTCCCTCAAGAATAATCAATGAATGAATGAATTCTTCAGGAGTATGCATACGTTGTGAACAAAACAAAATACTCCCCTCTACAACACAGGATCTTCAGAATGAAATGTTTTACCATATGTTGCAGAAATGCAGGAACTTCAGTATGGAAATATATTATCATACCAGGGATCAAAATTTTAAATCATTATTTCTATCCTTGTATGCATAGCAGAAAATACGCTGACATAATTTTGTAACCTACATGAAGTTCGTTCGTGGTCATTATACATAGCAACACAGCCATTGTTATTTGCACGTTGAACGTTTTTCATAATGAATTGAGGTAAATTACAACTATCCTTAATTAGTACATGTAGTAAAAATTTTTTTTTACATAACCTTCAGTGTTTTTGGTCTGTTTATGCAAGTTTTATATTTTTTAACATATATATTTAAGATATATGAACATTGAAGGTTTTTTTAAGGTTGCAGTTCATTTTAATGATCACAACATTTAACACAACTGAGTTTGGGTATCTGAGTTTCTTTAATTAAAAACATTTTTTTTTTTAAATCTTGGTTTAGATCTTATATTTTTTGGAAGGTTTCAGAACTTAGGAACTTCTATTGTTCCAAGCCATTTTGAGCATTAGGATAATAATTCCGACTATCACAGATGGCCTAGTTGATATTTCATATTTAATTAATAACTTGAATGAATTGTTAAAAAATGGATATTTTTGTAAGCAGTACAAGAAATTTGTGATGTGTCTTATATTTGTTATGTTATTAAGACATGTTATGTTATTGTAATTAATAGCATAAATTTCATACATACACATGTTCATTTGAAATGTTTTTTAACTTCCTGTATATAGAGAGTATATACAAAATAAATTTCTCCTGTTCTATACAAAACCTATCTAAGTATACCTGTAAGGTTATTTATTGGGTTTTATCTGGTTTTTACATTTTGATTATATACTAATGTTCAATATACTTTGATTTTACCATATTATAATAACGTGTATTATATTTGTAAAATGGTGATATGTTCTTCCTGTTGTTCTTCTGGTGTATACATTTTGTGGGTAATATATACATAATAAATTAATGTGTGTGTTTATATATACTAAGTGTACTTTTTAACTGTCTTAATAATAATGTCAACCACTGTACTATATTTTCTCCCTATGCATCATGAGGATATGTTGTTCAGTAAGTATGTCAAAATGATTGTTATATGTGAGGGTTTTTATAAAATGCTTCTCATTTGTTTTTTTTCTTTGTAATGTATCAAGGGAAATTTTTGTTTTCTTTTATTTTCTAAACAAGTGAACTGTGAACTATGATTATGGAATACTTTTATACATACAAATAAATGGTGTAAGTATGGGCAATCCAGTTTCACCTATTCTAGCCAACATTTACATGATACAGATTGAATCTCAATCCATCAGTTCAGATTTACACCCACCACTATACTGATACAGATATGTAGACAACACATTTGCCGGATTCACATCTATAGAACATGCGTGTAGCTTTTTCAAACACATTAACTCTACACACCCAAATATTAAGTTCACCAGTGAATACGAAAAATATCAACAACTAGCATTTCTAAACCTCAATATCACAAAAACAAATACACAGTTTAAAACAAATATCCACAAAAAAAAATGACTCGTACTTGATTGTACATTCCCTGGAACTCGGCACTTTAAACAAAACAAAAACTCAGCATACTAGAATACCTGATAAACACCTGACAACTTTAATGAAGAAGTCAGTCAACTAAAACAGGACTTTATCAACGTGAATAAATATCTTGCAAAAACTGTCGAAAGAATTATTTACAGAAATCATAACCAACAACACAACTAACAAAACACCTACACTGCTGCATGCTGTACATTCCAGATATCAGCGACAAAATAACTAACATTTGGAAAAAAATTCATAACCAAACCTAACATTCCAGTAAACACTAAATTCATTCAAAAACCAGGTACAAAATTAAAATCTATACTATGTAAAAACTACTCTGACAATCATAATACTTATTGTCATATACAAAATACAATGCAACAACTGCCAGGATTTCTATATAGGAGAAACAAGCCAAAATATGGAAACCAGATTCAATGAACACAAAAAATCTCCCTCCCATGTTTTTGAACATTGTATCTCAAATAACCATGGAAAACACTGACATATTAATTATTTAATGAAACCAAAGTAAACAAATGAAAAATTAAAGAATCTCTTCTAATACAAGAACTTAAACCCACATTAAACCAGCACCAAGGAAAAGTTTTATATCTGTACTAATTATTCCTTAATGTTAACTACCATTTACAACGCCCTCTATAATCTGACACCTATCATTACTGTTGTCTACACAACACGTGATCAGTAATGGTCACTCTTTCAAATCTCATTCTCAACCTGATGATGACCTAACGAGGTTAAAATGTTTATTTATTTTGTGCTTTTCAAATAAGTTTTCTATACCCATATCAGCCATCTCTACACATTATATGGTGTTTTACAGAGATGAGTACAACATCTAGTATACCATAGCATCTGTCAGCCTCTTCCTCCATAGTATACTGTTCAAAGCAGTTAAGGATTAGTTGGAGTTACCTATAGTCTAGTCATGACAAGGCACAGATACTGCTATTAAATGTCAATGAACCACTGAGTGAATCTTTATGCAAAACAAGTGTCTGGTCACTAGTCACATGATCTGATATGCACAACTAGTGGTTTATAAAAGTGAAGAAAATGTTTCCAGCTGTTTTCAAACAGCTGGATGTGTTTAAAGAAATTCAGATTTATAGTGAGATATGCCAAGATCCCTAAGAAGAGCAACAAGTTATATAAAAAGCAGTCCAACACAACTAGTCACTGTGGGGTTATAAGTATTGCATAGAGTGGTTAGCAGGATGTAGCCTTGTATTCAGACTACCATACCATAAAAGTAGATGAGAAATCAATATGCAAATAGTAAGAAACAGGCTTCATAATCTTGCTTTTATGACAGTTGGCCAATAGTACATTTCTATTTGCCACTAAAAAGCCCATCTTCAGTTGTGGTAAGAATGTGTCTTAGTCAAACAATTTATGATTGATTGTCTTGTTCACAGATGATATTTATATACACCTTATAGTAGGAGTGGTTGCATACTGGCTAGACAGAGATCAGTATTAGTGGCCGCACTGACCTTTTTAGTGCTGCAACCTGTTACTGTAACTGTCATATGATATAGAGATGCAGTTTGTCGACAAACTGTCTACTGGGTTCTTCTGAAGGGATGAACAAAGGATTATAATCAAAGTTCACAATACTCAGGAACAATCCACATATTTAGTAATTTTTTATAGTTTCTTTTGAAGTACCTTTTTTTCCTAAAACTTCCTTCATGGTAAATTTTACAAGGTGATTATAAAGAAAATGTCACAATTAAAATGTTCATCTTAACTACTTATTCAAAAGCCCAAAGATTCACTAGAGGTATATGGAGATTCACAAGTTTTATTTAAAAAGGTTTGACCATGGTATGAGATGCTTCAGAAACATATACAGAGTACCTAAGTTGTTTCTCTTGCCAGTTTGTTTTTCTTTTATTTCTCTTCCTCTTTCTTTCAATGATGTAAAGCTGATTTGATTAATCTGTATGTTAGTGTGCAGCGTGTTGCAAGGATCAGGGAACAGTACTTATCAAGGATGATAAAAAGCATAATGAATACCTTTTGTAACCGTTTTTAAAAGACCCTGTACCACATCCAATCTTTCCCAAAAACTTTTTGGTACTCACTGTGCTTATAGTGAGATTTATTCACCTAGAGCAAGTAACTTTTAAGGTTTAATAAATACTTTACCATAAGTTTCTTAAAAAAAAAAGAAGAAATTCCAATATAATTTTAACAATATTTATATATTTAATTATTTTCACTGTTATTATTATTTGAAGTTTTTAGTTATGTTTTGTATAGTATACTTAAGTCTTTTGGTTATCTTCGATATAGCAGAACATTTTTAAGTTTGTTTAATGACTTGTAAACCATGTAATTCCATGTGTTGTCAGAGGTTGTAGTACAGGAAACCTAGTTTGTCAAACTGTGACAAACTATTAATGAGACAGTATAATGCTGTGCATGAAAACAATTATTTAAATAAAGAAATGATGATTTTAAGATACAACAGTTTATATACTGTATATTTCAGTAAAATACTAAACAAAACTTTCACTCTTACAAGACTAATATTGATATTCAAGAAATATACGATGTGTGTTTCCAGGACTTGCAAAAAGCCAATGGGTTTTGGACCATAAGAGAGCATTGGTATTTGTTTGTTAATTAACCCATAAAGACGTGATTTTGAATATTTAAGGCAGCTGTAAACAGTTGCCAATTAAATATAGGAAAAAAAAATGCAATAATATATGAAAAACGACATCACAATGAGCATTTTCTAGTAACTTGTTGGGCATTGCTCTTTCTCATCATCTAATACATTTCCCGAAGCATTAAAGAGAAGACCACAGTCATGTGCTGTTTTGGTTTTATTACATCATTTTTTTTTTTTTCTTTCATTTTGTATTAGGAAGTGTAATTATTTATTATCACAAATAATGGTTTTGAAATTTGATATTAGGTCTATGTTAGAAAATAGACAGAAGTACCAACATTCCATAGAAACTTGCGTGAACTATCTAAGAGCACACAGTTCTTTGTGAGAAACTTGCAAAGTAACTGGTAAATGTTTGCCAGTTACTAGAAAAGTCTTTCAACCTCTGTGTATTATATAGATAAGTTATAGCTATAACAAGACATACAGCTTTTCTAACTCTCTTGCATTTCTACAATTTTTGTTTTAAAGGAAGAGCAATATAAAGGGAAGCCAAACTATGAACACTTGGTTGAAGAACTCCACGTTCTTATTCAAACTGAAGACACCCCTAATCGTGCATCTCTGAAAATGGAGCATGCTGTTAAAGAAGTCAAGAAACTACTCATCCCTGTGGTTTGTTTGTTTATCTTTTTTATCATGTATTTTTGTTGTTATGAAGTGCTAGGATAACTAGACATAAGAGCATCATTTCTTGTGATGTATATCCACATGAAATACATTTTAAGTTAAACTAAAAAACCCCTATTGATAAAAATGAAGTCTTATCAACAATGTCAAGGTCTTCCAGTAATTCTGGTTAATTAATGCCCTGCATCAGTAAACAATGTTTCTATGAGAATGTCACTCGTATATATAAATAATAATAATACTTAATAATAATAAATTCTTTCAGGCCATGTATTTTTTTAATTGATAACACATTTGTGCAACTTGGGCAATGTGTCTTCCAACTAATACCAGGAATTCCAATGAAGGTTCCCTAAACCCACAAATTGCAGATTTATATTTATTCAAAATGGAATTTCCACAGTAACAAACCTTAGTGAGAAAGACTAATAAGGTTTTGTATCTTAGTCGTGCTTGTAAATATACTGATGATATTCTTGTACCTAATTATCAAGGTTTTCTTTACGCAGTGAAAAAAAACTTAACCAATGGAACTCATTTTGGGAAAGAACTATCACTAAAAAGTAGCATTATCTGGATTTAGATAACATTGCTAATAAAACATTCAGAGTTTCAATAAAATGGACTATTAGTTAAATTAGATTAGACTTTGCTGTTTACTTTACTTGCCATATTTACAATTGTTGAAACTTCCCTTTCTAAATCTTTTTTTGTATTATTGTTGAACTTTCTTGAACCTTGTTTACTTTTTGATTTTTACAGAAGATTTAACTTTATTTATTACTTCCTGTTGTCTACTCCACGTATTTTATAAAGTGACAGAGGTTTTGTTACGCACATCATAATACGTTTAATGTATTATTTTTCTTTTTTATTACATTTAACATTGTTATGTTTTAAGTAGAGTACTAATAGTATAGCTATTTATTGTATGATTCAGAAATCCATTTAGTTTCTTGTTTATTTTATATCTTCATAAACATTAGCTTTTGACTTTAATATTGTTAATTTCTTGCTACTTGACTTCATGTCCTTTTCACAAAAGATTCAATATTTAAAAGAGCCAAAGACCCTGTTGTTAATAAATCCATGGAAGTGTTAGTTTTTTTCCCACTGAATGCATCTTTAGAAATTCTACATTTTCAGTAGAAGTTTTGTAATAATAAGATTACATTGAACTTTAACAGCTAATTATGCATTATTATCAACTTTTTAAAATAGGTTTATTGAGCTATTTTACTTGAATCTGTGACATTTATGCCAATTGTAAATCAGTATATACTATGAAGAGTGCACATAAATATTTGATCTGTGTATTAGATGAATATTTTAGAAATCCTTCTAAGGAGTTTTAATTCTGGGTGTTTAAAAATCATCACTCTATAGATAAGTGGATCCTCCAGGAAATAGCATCTTTTATTTGAAAATATAGCAATAAATTTGGTTATTTATAGTGACAGTTAGAAAACATTTCTACATTACTTTCATATCACCTGTGCAAAATGTAAAACTTGTTTCAAACATGTACAAGCCTAGATTTGAAATTCTGTATATCCATATTTAATGCTTTATAAATTCCACACTGATCTATTCTGCAATCACTTGTATGGTTGATGCCGTGCTCATAGATTTAAAAGTATTTTATTTTATAAGTTTACATGTTAATTTAATAATTTTAATTGAGTTTTACAGAATAGTGTTCTGAAACTTTTAGTTCTAATTGAATTTTATGGCTTAAGCACTGTTTTTTATTATAAGGTGGTATTACTCTTGGAAAGCAAGCAGCTAATAAAATTGTGGTCAGTTCAATCTTTTAATGCATGTAGTGAATAGAAATAAAATAATAAATGTAGCAATTGATATAAATTCAGATTTTTTGAAGGATCTGGTTAAGATGTTTTGTATATTAAATGTATGTAACATCTGTGGTCTTTTTTTTTTTCTTCTTCTTCTTTGATAACGCTCTGTCCAATTACTGTCTGTTTAGACTGATGGAGAAGATGAACTTAAGAAGAGACAGCTTATGGAGCTAGCTATCATTAGAGGCACATACAGAGAAAGTGGAACAAAAGTTACAAGTAAAATTATTTTATTGTGATAAGCATCTAATTCATATTTTAATTTTTGATACAGTTTTTGCGATGTATTTATGATCTTTTTTTTAACCCTCTCCAGATGAGTCACAGGTCAAAGGCCATGTCATCGCATTTGTTGATTTGCATTAAGAATTTTATTGAATTGTTATTTCATGAATATATGTCAATAAGTATTATACATTATTTAATTTCTTAATTTAAAAGTAAATATTTAAAAAATACAGTTAAACATTGATTTTTTGTGTGTATGTGTGTGTGTCATGTGGTAAGTTAAATGTAGCACTGGTTCAAATTAGGTGTTTGTAAAAA